ATATTCGCAACTGCCCATTGCTCACACCACTACTAGAATTTGACAAGGGGAAATACTGGCCAAATATTGCTCATATTCCCATCATACAGGTCGATTGGAAATACATGTGATGATTAAAACAAATGGTGCTCCCACTGATGTAAGTTATTCTTTTCCCTCAGAAACTTGTTATTTTTGTTTTCTTCACTTTTCTTTTTTGCTAATTTTTTTCCTTTTCTTTTTTTATATCCTGTTGAGCAGTGTGGAATGTCTTTTGCTCAATCCACACCGAAAATTGCTCATACTTCCACCATAAATGTTGATTTGGAGAACCTGTAATGATTATCACGAGTGGTGCTCCGATAGATAGATGTAAGTTATTCTATTTCCTTAGTAGCTTTCCATTTTTGGTTAAATTCTTTTTCTTTGTTACATCTTTTTTGACCAGTGTGTAGCATCTATTGCTTCCGTGAAGTCGAGGAAATAGCTATAGATCAGGATAAACTCTTTTATATTTGCATTGAGACATTGTAAAAGAAAATCATATATCATATCATATTATAAGTGGGAAGCCTCTATGTCAAAAGTTGAATTACAAAATGTCCTTGTAATATCATAATATTTATGGACAAAAATGTAAATATATATTAAATATAAATAAAAACTATTGTATTCTATTAAACACTATTATTACATATTTATGAACAAAAATATAAATACACATTAATTATAATAAATATCATAAAATATTTATAATAATAATATTATATTCTAAAAATGGAGAACTCACAATCTTTGGCATGAATTAATATAGATACAATGAATATTTGTACAATTGGATGATATCCTATTAAATGACAAAAGAAAATCAAAAGTTTAGGAACAATTAAAATGACCCTTAAGTGTACCTCAATTACTCCTACCGTGCAAAGGTATAAAAATTTTCAGATGAATTATATTCAAAAAATTATATTAAATGCTAAGTAATTGCTTCAATAAATACTTACTATGAAAACTTGCAATCGTTGAACTTTTGATTTTCTTCTATTATAATTAGCACAAACTAATGATGAATAATATACTTGGTAAATTAGTTAAATTTATCTTATATAAATGGACATTTAGCATATGCATAAACTTTCACTATTGGATATATATATATAATTCTATACTTATTAAGCTCCCAAGTTAAAAGTTGAATTACAAAAATACCCTTCAACTAAAAAAAGAGATTTTTTAATAAATGGTTGTAATATAATTCTATACTTATTACGCTTTAATTGTTTTATATAATAAAATAATAAATGGAAAATGAAAAAAACCAAAGAGACGATGATCAGATAATAATTTTTGATACTTTAAAACTTTTGGTTTTTTTATGTTAGAGAAAAGAACCCTTTCCTTTCTTCATTTACATTTTTAAAAAAAATAGACCAATAACTCTCTAAATTATCTAATCTTTCCTCTTCCCCAATTTATTACTCAATTAAATCTTAAGTTATATATATTGAATGAAAGATGAAAGAACTTCCTGAATATACCGTTTCATATTCCTTTTTTGTGCACTTATATAATTTATATAAATGCATATTATCATATAAGATAATAGGGTTGCTTCACTTCAGTTGCAACATAATATTATGATATATTCTTTTGCCTCATTTTCTTTTCATTGCTTTAATTTATTTTTTTCTGTTTCATGTCTGATGTAGTGTATTTCTTTGCTTATAACAGGTCATTTAGGTGAATACTTTTTCTTCCATATTATTCTTATTTGTAAAATATAAGGTATGTGCGTTTATATTCTCATTCATTCCTATTTTTTTAATAATGTAGATGCATTCTTGGTGAATTATTTTGTTTTACTGTTTATGGGGTTTCATAATTGGAGTGGTAGTTCCTTCAAAGAAATATTAGTAAAAGACATTCCAAAATATCGTGAAAAAGACATATTTAGAGTTGATTTATATTGTAAGCACATTTGAATGTTGCATATGATTGTTGTAGTCCTCCTTTCTCATTTTTTTATTTCCATTTCACTCTTAAAAAGATAACAATGATTTTTTTTCCTAATGTAATCACTATTCCTTTGCCTTCTTTTAAAAGTGATAGTCAATTCATGATTTTATAAAAATAACTACAAATAGTTAATTTACTTTGTAGTTTTAGTGATAATGTTTGGTTATTTTTTAGAGTGTGCAATTTATTTTTACCATTATAAATAAATTACATACGCTTTAAATTTATTGTAATACAATGTAAATTACCTTGGTTATTATTAATTATTTTTATTTTCCATCTTCCTATGTATTAATTTTTCTCATAATCTATTTATCTTCCTTTGCCTCAAAACATTGTTATCATATATATATGTTATTATTTTGTTTCTTTTGTTTACTACTCTTCACCATGCTACTATATCTTATGTGTCAATTTAGTTATCAAATTTTTTTTCCAGGTAAAATATTAATGACCCATGAAATTTATTCTTGAAAAGCTCGGTGTTTTCTTGATCTATTTCCAAAGTTATTATATAGATCTTAAGAGTATTGAATACTTATCTGTTAGATTGAAGCAAATTACTCTGAATTTTATTACATCTACATCTTTATCTATTAAACTTAAATTTGACCTTTCTATAGCAATCAGTTGATTAGTGCTTTGTTAATAGTAACTCTCTGATGGGATGTAATTTAAGCATTTTCCCTTGATTTTGTGGCAGAGCAACACTATTATATTATATATAGATATAGCACATTTGCATCATAAGAGCACCTAGACTATTCTACAAAATGAACTTGTAATTTTCTAAAAGTGGGAACAATCTAAGTCAAAAGTTGAATTACGAAGATACTTTTTGACTATTAATTTATTTTCTTAAGATCATTTAAAAAAAATATTTTTCCATTTAAAATCAACTTCATAACTACACCTCTTCATTTTCCTAACTTATCATCTTATGATCATAAATAAACAATAAATAATAAATAATAAGAATAAAAATAAAAATTTATTAAAAGTAGAAAACTCAAAAATTTAAAGTTGGATTACCATTTTACTCTTATACTAAATAAAAAAGTTATAAAATATTTTAATAATTAAATATTAAATAATAATCATAAATTAATTTGTCATTTTTCCTTCACATAAAAAAGGGAAATAAAACTTTTATTAAATTAGTAAATATAGTAAGTATATATATAAGTACGACCACAATATTTTAAAAACTGAATTATCAAAATGTCCATAAAATGTTGAATGACATCAATATCCTTCAATCAAATATTATTCCTATAATAATATTGTACATGGATTTAAATATATACTTAGTTCAATGCATTAGGCTATTGAATATATATACACGAAAAAACCCATTAATGTTTTGTCATTTATTTAACTCTTATTTATGTTTTTTTCTTTCTTGAAGGTAAGTCTATCTTCTAATAAATAAAAATAAATAATAATATAGCAAATGAATGACCTAGATAAATTAAAGACATAGAGTTATGTGTATTCAATTTCTGTAAATGCTTTATCTTCCGATTCTTAATGCGAAAAGTAAAATATCTCTTTGTAGTAATAAACATATGGAGAATTGAAAAAGTTGCTTGGTATATTCAATGCGGAGTAATTCATTTGATCAATTCAATACAATATATTCATTTACTAAAATGTTATATATTGTGTATATATAGTGAAAAATCACAAGACAATTATTTCAATTCATCAAATTATTAGATTATCAATCCTACTTTGTGTAGCGACATTTTTTCATATTCATTTTGTGTTTGTGTCTCTCTTTTCTACTTCTGCTTATGTACTCTATTTTTTCTATTCATATTATAAGTTATTGTCTTTAATTTGACTTATTCATATATGTTTTCTGATTAGTTGAAAGTTCATTTTACTTGGGTATGCAAACATTTGTATCATAGTTATTTCACCTCTTGCAACATAGAAATTTATCATAGAAATATCAAATCAGATAAGATTACTTTTTTTTTAAGTATCTCCTTGGAGTATCATGAAACTATATGTTCTTGTTTATGTAATTTTGGTTAGGAATCAATTTACATAATTTAACTTATATTTTTTTTGTTTAATTTACATAAGATAGAACTAATAATTTTGAATTAGGCAAGGGGTACACGACCTATAACAATTATGATTTATATACATCGATTAGATATTTGAGCAATTATTATTTTTATCACTAATAATAACTATTTTTTTTGTAGGTGTACACCAAAAAATTGACAATGATCCACTAGCTATCATAAGAAATGTATGTGTTGATCGAATTTATATGCACTTTTTACAAAACACAAATCACATTCGATAACAATTTCTTGACCTGTATGTGATTGTAATAAGGTGGAGGCTACAATTTCTAGAAAGAAGGCAAAAATTTTAGAACATGAAATATTTTGAACCAATAAGAGATACTTAAATTATGTGTTGTGACATATTAACAAATCTTTTATCAAGTTGAATACTTGATATATTAAAAAACACATAATTAAAAGTGTTCGAATATTACTTTTGAAATTCACTTGATAGCAATATTTTAGCATTATGTACCTTCTATTGATAATAATCTTGATTGAATAGGCTCACCATTAATTGATTTGAGCTTGTAGATTTTCTCTTCAATTACTATGCAAGTTATCGCACAATGTTCATCTTCTAGCCATCTTAAGGAAGACATAGATTGATCAAATTTCTATATAACTTTTGCAAAACACTACTCTTATTTGACAAAAACTTCTTATAAATACATGCAAATCTTCAATTTTTGTGCAACTTATCACACTAATTATAATGTTTCCAAAGTTCTTGTACTAATAAAGCATGAGATACATGGGCAACATACATGTTCAAGCATACAGTGGCGAATTTACTGCCAAAAAATAGGGCACCCGCACCCGTGGTCTCTTCGTAAAATTAGATATTTTATATGTATATTTTTTAAGATTTTATATAATATTATATTCTTGCACCCGTACTACGAGAAGTCTAAATGGTCCACGTGGTTAAATGTTGAGCTTCTATTTTACCCCTACATTAAATAAAAATGTTATAAGCTATTAATAAATTAAATATTAAATAATAATTATATCATACTATTATATTATTATACTAATGCTAATCAGTATATACCTGCTTGTTAATTTTATCCATTTTTGGCTTTTGATTTTCTTCCTAATCTAGATTACTCTCCCATTACCTATGAACATTCACTTATTGCTATAATAATAATATTAAAGAAGGTGAATGAAGAGTTGCACAATATTAATTATGAGAAATGTTCACTTATTGCTCCAACAATAATAATGATGAATAAGGAAAATGAAGAGTTGGGGTAATTTCTATCCAAGTCAATATTATATTTGTGTAGCAAAGAGGTCATCCAATGGTTATATAGCAAAAATGCATGATTGTTAAATAAACTTTTCATTTCACTCTAAATACATTAGTTGATCACTAATCACTTTCATTATATTCTTTTATTTTTTACAGGAGAAAAATGTACGTGTACATTCTAAAACTTCATACGAAGCTTGCAATGTGATGGGAACGGATGTTTAAAATCTTTGTGGAGATTGAAATTCATCTTTTTATAAAGATGGCCTTCTAACAAGCATAATAAGTAACTACTATATTTTCATGTTTTGACAACTTCTCTTTTTATATTTCCTATTAATGATTGTGACAGCTTTTATAGGATATGTCCTACCTTGGGATTAGATGAGCTTTTGGGGAGCTACAGTAATCACAAGCTTAGCTAGCGCCATGCCTGTAGTAGGAGAATTAGCCGCCTTATTTATGGATTTTCCTCTGGTATTGGGGAATGGGGGGGCACCCCTACAAGACTTTAATCTAAACATGATGCCTGATTTGAATCTACCTGCGGAACCCGAGCCCTATCAACCACTATTTCCCCAGGTTCCTCTTGGGACTCTGTCCTTAGAGGAGCTAATTTTTAAGCAATTATTGAAGGAATTCAACAAGTTTTCACTGATTTACATACTTTGGGTAAGTGAGATGGAAACTCTCTTCTTCCTTTCTTTGTCATTTCACTTAATTATGTTATGTAAGTTGATCATCGAAAAGGTGCTACATTTATCATTCTTTCATTAAATTTATTCCTCTTATTTTATTAGAGCTTAGTTTTTCTTGTTTCATATCATACCTAGCTAGCTACAATCTTTGGAAGAAAATTATTATAGATAATTATGATGGTCATATCTAAGTATGTTGATTACCTAATTTTTTCTTGCATGCACGTTAGTAATGTTTAGGTGCACTTCTTAAATTTAGAGCAAGAGTTCCTTGATATGTCATATATCATCAGATGCTATATTATTTTAATTAGTGTTACATAATTCAACATATCTTATTTTCCAAAACAAATAACTAAAAGTTAAATGAAAAGAATTAGTTGTCACCCTTGTATTTGTATAGAGAAACATATATTTAGATATTTTAGTCTAGAAGATTATATTTGAAATCCTTCTTTTCATTTATTTTTGGATGCAAAAGTAAGCTTTATATAGAAACATATTAATCAATACAAGATTTATCATATTTATAAAAATATAATGTGATAAATATTTATATCAACATGATATTAGACTTATATAAATTTTAGATCATAATAGAAGACAAACGTGCAGCGCACGTTTTCAGAACTAGTCTAGTATAGGTAGGAATTGAGATAATTTGCTCCAGAAAGTTGGTTGTTTAATATATATCAGCAGGATGTTTATAGCAATTCATTTATGATCTTGTGATGAATCTCACTCTTCATCTTAGTTGGCTATTACGACTCACTTTTCTTGTCTATTAATATATGTTCTCTCTCAAATCTTGTAGACTGAAATATCTCCACCATAGAAGTCGATGGAGAATACATTTAATGATTAAAGCGAATGATGCTCTCACAAATGTAAGTTTTTCTTTGTCCTCAGAAGCTTTCTATTTTTGTTTACTTCCCTTTGCTTTTCCTTTGCTAAGATCTTCTTGAGCAGTATGGAGTATCGATTGCCACTATGAAGTCGAGAAATCATCTTCAGTTCGAGAGAAATTTAATTTTAGATAACCAAAAAAAAAACAAAGGTGAAAAAATCTTTATATTCGTGTGGGAACATTGTAAAACGAAATCTAGTATACATAGGAATTAAAATAATCTGCTCCACAAAATCTTGTTCTTTCCGTTTTTAGTGAGTTTAGAGTTATGCACATGTTCACTATTGAATTCAAAGCTTTAATAGAATTCAAAGGTGTACAATACACAAGGTTTGTTTCCTATCTATCAAAAATATATAAAAGGGTGCTCTGACAAATGTAAGTTATTATTTTCCCTTAGAATCTTTTTGTTTTTGTTTTCTTCACTTTGCTTTTTTAAAATCTTGTTGAGCAGTGTGGGCGTCTATTGCTCAAATCACGGCAACTAACGAAGAGTTGCTCATATTTTCACCATAAATGTTGATTGGGAGAACATATAATGTTCTCCAATATATGTAAGTTATTCTATTTCCTTAGTATCTTTTGATTTTGGTTAATTCTTTTTCTTTGTTAAATCTTTTTTACCGGTGTGTAGCATCTATTGCTTCTGTGAAGTCAAGGAAATATTTTTAGATCAGGATGAAATCTTTATTTGCATCGAGACATTGTAAAAGAAATATGGTATAGGTAGGAATTGAGAAATATGGTTGTTTAATATATGTCAGCAAGATTTTTATAGCAATTCATTTATTCTAGTAACAAATCTCACTCGTCATCTTAGTTGACTATTAAGACTCACTTTTCTTGTTTATTAACCTATGTTCTCTCTCAAATCTTGTAGACTGGAATATTGTTCGCCATCATGAAAATTCTGCTCATATCTCCACCATAGAAGTCGATGGAGAATACATTTAATGATTAAAGCGAATGATGCTCTCACAAATGTAAGTTTTTCTTTGCCCTCTGAAGCTTTCTATTTTTGTTTACTTCCCTTTGCTTTCCCTTAATTTAGATCTTGTTGAGCAGTATGGAGTGTCTTGTGCCACTATGAAGCCGAGAAATCATCTTCAGTTTGAGATAAATTTAATTGTAGATAACAAAAAAAAAAAAAAACAAAGGTGATAAAATCTTTATATTTATGTGGGAACACGGTAAAACGAAATCTAGTATATATAAGAATTAAAATAACTTGCTCCACAAAATCTTGTTCTTTCCGTTTTCAGTGAGTTTAGAGCTATGCACATATCGACTATTGAATTCAAAGCTTTAATAGAATTCAAAGATGTACAATACACACAAGGTTCATTTCCTATCTATCAAAAATATAAAAGTTTGCCTCCCAATAAATTTAATACCTAAAAGCATCAGCACTATTCAAGTTTTTATTAATGATTATTGGATATCAACTTAGCAAATTTTTTTCTTTGTCAGGATTCTGGTAACATTATATGTAAGCTATTGCCGCTCTAGCTCAGTTTGTACCAGGAAAGTTCTGCTGCAATTCTCTATTGAATAGACTATTGCTAGAATGTGGTCTGACAGCAAAGTGTAAGTGAATAAAGATAGTTTCGCAGTTTTGTCGCTGACCGTAAACATTAGGTTTATGCTTTGAACTGTTTAAACATAAATATATGTGATCATTAGAATGATGTATATCTTTGATATTAATGACGTTTAATATTCTTTTCAGAATATAAATTATGTCGTGCTTATCATCAAACACGTATCTTTATTTTTATGCTCCATAGAGAATCTAAATTTTAGAAAAGATAATCACGGATAATGATCAGAAGTATTAGGAAATAAGTAAACTTCCATTGCCAGAATTAGATGTTTTATAGAAGTGCAGCTAATTGTTGTGCGTTATATATTCTTGTGCGTTAAGTAAACTCTTGCAGGATTCTGTTACATCAGTATGAATGTTGGTTTCTCATTGCTTATTGTTGTGTCTTTGTAGTTCTCCCTGAACAGACTGTTAAATGGGAATTGATGTCTTTCACATTGCTTTGTTCTTCTAGCTTCTTCAGCATAAAAAATTGCTTAGTAATCATTCATGTGCTGCTATAAATATAGACAGTATGTGGTCTGTAATTGTGACACGGGGATTGGCTTAGAGTTCTAAAATTTCTTTGTAATTGCTTTCAGTAAGAAGGTTGTGATTTCCAAGTCGTACAGCCGTCTACTATGACTTCCTTGAGATGAAGCATGGCTTGCTGCAAATGGAACATACAGCTCTATTGGAACCCAAAGGTACATGAGAAAAAAGTTGTTTAATGTAATACACAAGAGACATATTGTACATTATGGTCATAGATTATAAGGAAAGATATTACTTTTTCATCGTTAGGATTTTGACAAGACTCGGTGATCATTTGGGAAGTGAAGAGTTTCGAAGGTTTCTCTGTTCAAGTTGAGAAGCGAAAGCTGTTGAACTATGTATGTAATAGCTTATTGTTGACTTTGGGTCCTAGGCTCCCACGACTTTAAAATGCATCACTCGGGTCTAATGTCACTTCTTTTTATACCAACAATCAATATCTTTATTGCGTTTTGTTTAGTCGATGTGGTATATGCCTAGGATGCTACAATGTTGTTCTTTTAACCCTGGATACCAAGACGGAAAGCAAGAGACGACACAATTATTGAACTTTCTGTATTGAGAAATCGGAATGTCTGGACGCAAATGGTTAGAGAAAACTGTAAATGCAATGTAAAATGTATAAGAAACATGGGAGACTTTGAGGAGTGAAATTTATTTGCATAATTTTTTAATGTTGTTATTACTGATTAAATGGTGTGTGTGTATATTTTGTTTAGTGGAATTCTTCCCATACATGAGTGGAGCTAGAGAGGAAGCTATGGGTTTGTCAAATATTGGTAACTATACAAAACAAAGACTAACACTGTAATGAATGGTCTCCGATTACTATTTTCACTTATCCTTTTCTTTGTCAGGATTTTTAAAGGAAAGTTTTGCTGCAATTCTCTGCTGAATAGACAGTCACTTGAATGTGGTCGTGACTGAAAAATGTAAGTGAATAACTTCTAGTCATTTTTTTTGTTTCCAGATTAAGATAGGTTTGCAGTTTTGTTATCGCTGAGGGTAAGTGCAAAAAGACTAGTCACTTATCAGGATTTCTGAAGCAATACAGCATCCAATTGTTGTCTCAGTTAGATTGCTCGTTTTTTACAAATGTAAGCAAAGGTTTTCCAAAATGATAGCAAAAGCTTGAGTCCCTTTTCAACAGTCATGTGATGCTAATTTTTTCTGTTGTTTTGCATTTTCGTCTTTGCTTTTCGTAAGCCTGGGATTAACTTTTGTCATCTGGAATTTGATAAGCATAAAAAGTTATGTTTTACTCCTTATGATATGCAGATATGTAGTTGCAGAGATGAAGTCTCCATGAGAGGGGTAAGATATCATATAAAGAGTATGACAATCTGGCTTGGCAAGACCAGTTTGACATCCAAGACAGTGAAGAGCTTAATAGAATGAAGGAAGAAAATGCCAATCTTCAAGAAAAACTGAATGATGCAGGTATACATTCTTAATTGATATTCCAGACACTACAGATTTGTAAAATATAAAAAATCGCTCGTGAGCCATATATGATATATTGAATTTTAAACTTCTTCACTTGCAGTAATCACTTTCTTAGTCAAATAAAATGATAGTATTTCCTTAATTGTCTAGAGGAATCATACATGTACAACTTTAAATAGAAATATATTTAAATAGATTTTTTTTTTTAAAAAAAAGTTTTTAAAATGATGGATATTATTATGTTAAAGCTTTTGAATTTAAAGGTTCTTTCAATCTTTAACGTTACACTAAGTGGAGATAACTAGATTGAAACTATAATTTTTATTTTTTCTCAACTATATGGTATTAGATGATGTATACAAATTTGAATTTTTAAGGTGAAAAATTTCTTGTTTTCTCAAAGATGAAGCAAACGATACTTTATTTAATACTATAGATGATGAACTGATATATACACAAAGAACAATTCATGCAACACAACTTTTTTTCTACAGATAGGGCAATTGTTCTTCTCTGATAGCCAGGTGAATATGCAACTCCTATGGAATACATGGGAGCACGGTGTGGTCACTGCCACCACTGATTCATGACAAAATTTCCCAAAGCAAATAGGGCATATGTCGTCTGCCAACTCAAAATTATTCTTCAATAATACTTCCCCCACTGTCATAATCTTCAATCCGCATATAAATTCTTGTTTTTTCCCATCGAATACGTTTTCAGAACAAAAAAAGCAAAGCGCGCTCCATCAAGTAATTAGACATAGAATGAAGGATGTTTTGAATATCAGAATTTTCAACATCAAACTCTATGTCAAGTCGAGCCAAATATAGTTCATCCGTACAATAAAATCCATTTAGATATAAATTTCTCCTCTTATTATCAGACTCTAGAACTCCATACATGTAAAATTAACTATATTTTCATCGCTGCTCTCACTAACATTATTCCACAATATCTCGTACATATTACTATTATTAGTTAAGCAGATCATTTCCACGTCCACGTTCACAGTCACCACAATCAACTGAAGTAGGAAACAAATTCAATTAGGATTTTCCCGAATTAACTTCGTGAAATAAATCAAGAGTAGGAATCCTAACTAGTTTATGATTTATTATATGGTATTTAATTATGTCTTAGTCAGGATCTGTTTGTCATAGTTCATACGGTGATAAGTTTTTCTAGTCCTAATTTAGAGCCCATTTGGTGGGAATAACAATTTATTTTCCTTCCTACACAAATCAGGATTTTCCGGAATTAACTTGGTTTTCATGGTAAATAAATAGAGAGTGGGAATCCTAAGTAGTTTAGAATTTATTATTTGATATTTATTTAATTATGTCTAGTTATAATTTATTTGTCTGGTTTATATAGGAATAGGTTCTTTTAGTCCTAGTTTAATTTGGTTTGTTAGTATTATAAATAGGGGTATCTTAATTATTACATATTTCCATATAAGGTTTTTCAAATCCGAACCAAAATTGATAACTCTAACCAACAAAAAGTTATTGATTTATCGGTAATGGTTATTGGTATAGCTGTTTCGGTAACGGTTTTAATTTTTTTTAATTATCGGGTTATCGATTCTTAACGGTTTGAAGTTTTTTCTTAACGGATTAACCATAACTTGATAGTAAATTAAATAACTATATTTATACCATTTGGTATATAAAGTCCTTGAAATTTTTATTATCGGGTTATTCAATTCTTAACGGTTTGAAGTTTTTTATTAACGAATTAACCATAGTCTGATAGTAAATTAAATAATTATATTTATATCATTTGATATATAAAGTCCTTGACTTAGAGTTAAGTTTCATACGTTTATTTTAGGTTGTCTCAAACTTTCAATTATTTTACAATGTTATTGTGTTAGCTTTTGAGCAAGATGCATTCTAGCAACTTTCATGTGCATGATTCATTTGGTTTGTCATTTTGTTTCTGAGTAATTTTCCATGATTTTTTTGTGTCAAATTCTAACGGTTAAATCGATAACGATCTACAATTGATCAACCAATAAGAAGTAAGTCAATATCTTAATGGTTTTAGCATATTTACAAACCGATAACCGATAACCGATATCTTATATTGTACTATATATATGTTTTTAAAATACTTTTTATTTGCGTCTTTCTTCACTAAAACATGCTCTTCAGCTTGCACTGACACTTGCTCTCTTCTGCTTTTGCCTTTTACACCTGCTTTACACATCCATTAATATTAGTTGACTTGATGAGTGTTTTAGCTTAAGGTACTACGTCAAAAATATGTTTTAGTGGTAATGGAATAATTGCCGTTAAATATATATGATTTAGATGCAATTACTAGTGACAATTACATTTAGCACTCTTTGTAAATGTCAATAAAAGGTTTAACACTCTTTGTTAATGTGTATATTTATTACCGCTAAAAGTTATTTTTGTTGAAGTGAGGAAGGCTTTAGAGACAAAATCCTCCGGCGACTGAAAAGCTTCAATATCACAACAAAAACCGACAAATCTACTATCACCCGTAGTATATTTGGGTTGTAACTTGTTGAAATTGAAGTTTCGAAAGCTTTGTCAAATTTTGGATTTTTCTTCCGAACGGGTAAACCGTAAATTTTGTCTAGTCTGCTTTCACGCAATTCAACTAATTCGACGTGATACTTGTCACCTCCCACCAGCAGACAGCAACAGGTATGGGTGGAAATGCTTTTTTTTTTTTGTCTTTGCAGGGATTTAACCCACTTTATTAAATACTAGGCTACACCCTTGGACGTAGAAGAGGTAAAATTAACTGTATGATTCCTTTCCTAGTTAGTAATATGTAATATGCCTTTATGAACTTGTTGTAGGAGTAAAATCATCTCCGTCGTTATGAAAACTGATATACATATGTTTGTTGCAAGTTGTCAATTAGCAATTACACAAACTTACCACTACCTTGTAGAGAGGTTGTTCCGATAGGCTCTTAACTCAAGTAAACATAGAAAAAATAATACTCAAGAGAAAAGGAAAATTGAACAGATTCCAATTCTTCACAATTAGGCCCCATTAAGCGCTACAATGAGCTGTTGAAAAATGAATAAGTGCATAAAGAAAAAAGTAATGAATAGACATAAAGCAAAAGATACCTTCCTCTATTATTGCCTCAATTATTCAATTACGAGTCTAACGTTTTTTTCGAGTCATACATTTTGAAAAGAGAAAAAAGGACAATTTATCTTCTCAAAATTCTTAAAATTATTTTGTGGTTCTTTCTTTTGCTTGAATATTTGGTGGTGCATTTCTCTCTTCAGTTTTGATTGTTCTCTTTGATAGGCTTGCACAACTTTAAACGCGTCAAGTGAGTCTAAGGTCACTTCTTTATGCCCTTATGAAACAAAAAGAAGATTTTTGAATCAGTCTTGAATTAAGGATGTGTGTTATGTGTAGTCCTTTAAATCTTGTGATTTTAAACTTGTCGTCAAGTAGAATATAGGAATTGAAAACTTACTATATATAAAAAGAGGTACTCTTTTTGAGATAAATCAAAAAGAAAAGTAAGACCCCCAAGGGGTTTGATGTGGACAATCTAACCTAATAAAAATATTAGTCTCTCCTTTCACAACTCAAATTCGTGACCTATAAGTCACATGAAGACAAATTACCCTGTTGCTCCAAGGCTCCCCTACACAATGGATCAATAGATTTAATTTCTGACCATTGTTTAGGTTTCAACTCTAAAGAGGTATAATGCAAGAAAATAATTTAAACAGTTTGTTATAACCTCAAAAAAGAAGAAAAGAAAATGATAAGAAAGGAAGTGCGATGAAAAAAAAAAAAAAGAAAGTGAAGTATCATTCAAACAAGGAATCCAGTTTTGTTAAATTCAAAATTTTAGCAATAATATTTATTTATTTTTTGACGAAAAATCTTTTCAAGAATATAGAGTAAGCATAGTCCTGGTATGGTAGTCCCTTTTAGCACTATAATAATGAGCGGTATAAAAATTTATCATTTTAAGCTCTTTTATTTTTAGTAGAAACATATTCATGAATGTGTTGAAACATATTTATGATATGGTAGTCCCGCCTGGCCCCCCTTTCTACACCCCAAGCACCATTCATCTCTTGCTTCAATTATTTGACTAGGATTTTCATTTTTAGGATTTTGATAACGCTCGACAATTATTAGGGAAGTGAAAAGTTTTGAACGTCTCTCAAGGGAAATGTGTTTGAAGTTTAAGTGATATTTATTCTTATGTTCGATTTAGCATCAGGATGGTGGCTATAATAGTTTGTATTTTTGGCTTTGGGCCTAGGCTCGCACAATTTTAAACATGTCACTTAGGTCTAAGGCTCACTTCTTTATATACCAACAATCAACATTTCTCTTGTGTTTTGCCTGTGTGGTATTTTCCTAGCATGTTACAATGATGTTGTTTTTAGTCTGGATATGTCTTGGCCTACGGAAAGCAAAAGACAACACAATTATTAATTCTCTTACATAATACTTTTGCAGAGATATTTCAGTGTTTGGTCTTTCCAAGTAATACCAAAGCTAATATATGTATTATTTTCTCTAATACTTTGTACTAATTCTGGTATATCACGAGATTAGTAACAAAACTCTGGATAAGACAATACTAAAATTTTATCCCAAGACTATCTATGATCGACTAGCTTACCATACTACCTTTTAAAATTATTGATGAAGCTTGAATGATACTTTACATTGTTGGAACAAAAAACTGTTCTGGTAAATTATTAAACGTGTATTAGCAGAAACTATTAATGTCTACTTATATTTTAACTCAATAGGATTATTAAGTAAATATTGAACAAAATAAATCCGTTAGAACTTGTATAGTACATCAGTTCTACAACCACATGCTCTATTCTCTATATTGAAAAAGTAACTGATAAAGTTTAATTGACACCAATCAAACTACAGGAGAAACCTACCCCTCTTAACTACATATCCAAACCTAATAAAAATCAATGAGAAATATGTTCTTTTTTCTTGGATGAATTCATCCACTCACAATTAAAGTTAACACAAATTTTTACTTAGACACCTAAACTAAGGGGCCGTTTGGCCATGTGATATAGAATCATGATATGGTATTATAATATGGAGTCATGATATGAAATTGATGTTTTGTTTGGACATGCGATATGAAATTTTTGTGTTGTATATTTTCTCATAACATACGAATCTCATAAGTTGTAAAACTATTAAAATAACCTCAATTGTTTAATCAATCTTACCACTTGAACACCCTTATCTTCATTCCCTTAATACTTTCACCTGAAAAGGCCATCCCTTCTCCTATGTATATGTGAAGTAGGAAACAAATTCAATATTTTCCTTTCCTACACATATAAGGATTTTCCTGAATTAACTTTCTGGAAATAAATCAAGAGAAGAATCCTAAATAGTTTAGGATTTATTATTTGGTATTTATTTATTTATTATGTCTCGTTAGGATTTGTTTATTCTAATATCATACATGAATAAGTTTTTTTAAGCTAATTTGAATGTACTTGATATATAATTTACTAAACATTGTTTCAAACAATTTAAACTCGAAACATCTGGAAAAAAAATTAAGTTTTTTTAACCCTTTTCGTGGGAGCTCTCACCTACATCAAAAAGAATTTTTAGCAGAATAAATTAATTGCCGCTAAATATATATATTTTTAGATACAATTACTAGTAACAATTACATTTAGCACTTTTTGTAAATGTCGTTATAGCTACAGGGATATTGAATCTAATGACAATTATCTAATTTTGATAAAGGGTTTAACACTCTTTGTTAATGTGCATATTTATTACCGTTAGATGTTATTTTTGTTGAAATGAGGAAGGCTTTAGAGACAAAATTGTGATGGCAACTACGAATTGAAAGCTTCCAGGTATGTTTCTCGTAAGCTCTCCAACAGTTAAATATTTAAAAAGTACTATAGATTGTAATAATTAATAACTTAAAATATTTAACACAGTTAAATATATAAAAAGTACTATAAATTGTAATAATTAACAACTTAAAATACGTAAAAGATATATAATAACCGATCAAAGAAAAATTTAATTGACTCTCAAAATTTCAATCGTGTCACATAAATTTGGGCGGAGAGACTAATATATTTTTCAAATTAGGTTATTAAGTTTATCATTATTCAAACAACTTATTATTATAACTAGTTTGTGGGCACGTGCATTGTACGTGTCCCATATAATTTTTTATAGATCCATTTAAATGAATAAAATTCCTTTTAATGTTTAAAATTATCCCTTATGAGCAATCAACTATAGATTTTGAACTTTGATTTGTAGTTAGCAAACTTTCAATAAAGTCACAAATTGCTAACTTGACCGCAAATAAAAATACAAATTTACAACAATAAAAATTTCATAGAAAATTAATGGACCATGAAGCTACATTGTAAAACCTAACTTTCAAAAAATCAAAAGTCTAATCAAATCATTACACAAATATTTCAATTCACCGCACCACATTTTTGTAGAATAAAAAGTAAATAGAATTGCAGGAAAAAATATAAAATAAATAAATAAATAAAATTGACCAAATACTTCTCCAGCCTACTTAAATATTGATAAAAATCTCTATTTTCCTTAGTCTCAGGTCTTGACTCACCTCGTGCTCTATACCCTTTGATTATATAACTACAAAATAAGAAGCTGGACTCCATATATTAAAATCGATTGGTATATGTAAGAGATGAAAATAAGAAATTATAAAAACATAAAACAAAAATATTTAACCATAATACGCTAAATTATCATTGAGATGATACCAATACAAATGTAAATAAGTTGGTGTACCAGATTTCTTATCACATGTAGCAAGTATTTGTGATTCTTATGAAGGAAAAAAGAAGCTTTGAAAATATTATATAGAGACAGGTAAAGCCATGAGAATTAAAACTAAAAAAAAATGTTTTAATTTGTAGAGTAACCATTTAAGTGGAGTTATTTAGAGAATTAATGATAGCCTTTTGGGTTTTAGAACTGAAAAAGATTATGAGAAATAAAGAAGATTAAATAAGGAAGGTGTAATTAAAAAAATATAAGTTTAAAGTGATTTTAAAATTTTTTAATATCATATCATATCATATATATATATATATAAAAGAGAACCTTAAGCCTGCCTACGTGGCGCTACCACAGACCAGAATTCCCTTTTAATTTATTTATTTCCAAAACTAGCCTTCACCGAAAAGTTGTGACTTTTTACGAAAAGTTGTGACTTTTATGAAAAATTGTGACTTTTAAGAAAAGTTGCGACTTTTATGAAGAGTTGTGACTTTTAAGAAAAGTTGTGACTTTTATGAAGAGCTGCGACTTTTATGAAAGGTTGTGACGTTTATGAAATGTTGTGACCTTTTCGAAGGGTTGTGATATTTCCAAAGAGTTGTGACATTTCCAAAGAGTTTTGACCTTTTTGATAAGGCACAATAAACATATTTGTTCACACTACTATTTATTGCCTATAAATAGAGGGATTTCCCACTCATTTTAAATTTTAAAACAATGAAAATTCTGAACTTTTTTTTCTTCTTCTACACAATTAAATATTCATGCACTTTGCTCATGTTGAGTGGCTTACTGACACCATTGTTTTTGTATCAATACCTTGGTGAATAAAATCGTTCCATCCTAAGAGGATCTAATTCATTAAACCTCGGGTATTAGAGGGGAATAATTTTCTTAATGGGACACTGTGCATTCAGTGGACTCGATTTTTTCCTTTCTATTTCATTCTAATTTTGCATATCCTGGTAATTTTTTTTACAATCATTAATTTATTCTTATGATGTTAATTGTTGTTTTTGAGTACATGTTTTAAACTATGTTGTTTATGTTTCTACAAAGTTATTGTCTCTAGTTATATTGAACATATACACATATAGTAGGTATATTGCTTGTGCAGAAAATAATTATCGTACTCAGTTCCAAGAATACATGTTTTGAAATTCTATATAAAATTCTATGACTTAAAAGTACTATATATAAGCTTACATATTATCTAGTTTAACATAGATATGAGGTCTCTCACTTATCAATTGAAGAAATTCATTATGCAAGTTCAAAAGTTATAATTGCTTTCATGTTCAAGCGTAATTTCTTTTTTGAATATGTTAACAAATTTTTGAATTTTTCTCTGAGACATATATCACAACTGTATAATCTATGCAACTTAAATGTGTTCTTTTATTATGAAATGCCTTTGTATATATATTCTTATTTTTCTTTTAATGTTGATTAAAGAACCAGTGATTTATTATTTCCTGAATAATTCATTCATTAGAGGTTCTTTTGTTATGTGATAATGACAAATAATCAAATTCATGTTGGAATATTGCTAATATTTTTTTAAGAACCTATTTTTTCCATCATTTTTAATGTATGAATATTAGTAAAGGATTATTTGCAAGTTCAATGCAATTATTATTTGTGACCGCGCGAAGCGCGGGCAAATTACGTAGTAATACATAAATAGAGGAAAAATAATGAAAATTTTAAACATTTGAGAAAAAAAGATAAATATAAATGGTGACCATTGAGCGGTATCACATCACCTAGCTTATATATATACTAGTTTTCGAACACGTGCGTTGCACGTGTATACCATGCTAATTAGTATATAAATACTTCCAAAATGTAAGTGTACGATGTGTAAAATACAAGCTCGAATCAATGAACGGTTCAACATATTCAACTGATATTATGATCATTGCAAGACAAATCATACAAAAAAATTGTTATCAATTGAATTATTTTGAAAACTAATACTATAACAGCTTCAATTATACAAGTCTTATAATATATCAAGTATTCAACTTGTTAAAACTTCTTTTTTTAAAATGTTACAATACATAATTTACATGTCGACATTATAGTTACAAAATATTTAATGCCATAAAGCTTCTGCCTTCTTTTTAAGGAATAATACCCTCCACATTTTTACAGATGCATACATATCGAGAACTTGTCGTTGAAGGAGAGTGGTGTTTTGCAATAGTTGTAGAGAAATTCAATCAACATATGTCTTCCTTAGGATGACTAGTAGATTATTATCTATTTCATAGTTTGCACCTACAAAATAAAAGTATTTATTTGTTATAAGATAATCATTGTTTAACTATTTAATTGACATATATAAATAATAATTATATATATATGTACCCTTCGTCTTCTTTGGCTCATTCAAAATTATTAATTCTGCCATCTGTAAATTTTGACAAAAGAATTTTTTTTCAAGTTATATACATATAATTGAATTATGAAGTACAACACAATCATTTGTGAGATATTAACATTTAACAGTGTGGTAGAAAAAAAAAACAATATAAACCAAAAATTATATGGTGCAAAAAATTAATGCATATAAAAAAAAGATAACACCCAAATCCCCCAAAGACCGAGGGAACCGAAATTATGTATATCTCTGCTAAACATGTAGGATATCTATAAAAGAAATTATATTTATAAAGTTCAATTATAAAATAGGAAATGCGGAAATTAACAATTTAGTTTTTAATGGTATGAATATGTCGATGAATTCCTACTTTTGTTTTTTTTTTTTTCAGAATCAAACAACAACTCAGTTCAGTAGGGGTTGGGGAGCGCTGGGTGGGTAGGAGGATACAATAATAAATAAATATAGGATGTCATTTATAAAATTTATTTTTGCTACTGAAAGTTATTTTCCTCATTTTTAAGTGACTTGATTTTCCGAGTCTTTTTGATTTTTGGTTAAAGTGATTTGTTAGGCCCAATTAAGCACTAAAATGAGCTGTTGAAAAAAAAGCAGTAGCGCATAAAGCAAAGGTAATGAATAGACATAACGCTAAAAATTATACTTTTCTTTATTGCCTCTATTATTTTCGAATCTCTGTTTTTTCGAGTCAAGAAAGCAGATTTGTTTTGCTTCAGTGATCATTCTTGTTTGCGAATTACTCTTAGCATTCAACAGGTACATAAAGAAGTTGTTAGTAATTAAAGATAGATAAATATTTATCCGTTTCAAAATTCTTAAAAAATCATTTTGTTTTGAATTTGCAGATTTCAGAAATGGAGGTTGTCTTAGCAATTGGTGATGCTTTTCTCTCTTCAGCTTTTGATGTTCTCATTGATAGGCTTGCTCCTCAGGGTGATCTTCTCAAAATGTTTCGGACGCGTAAGAATGATGTTGAGCTCTTAAAAAAGCTGAAATTAACTTTGCTTGGTCTTCAAGCTGTGCTAAGTGATGCAGAGAAGAAGCAAGCATCAAATCAATTTGTGAGAGAGTGGCTTAATGAGCTTCGAGTTGCTGTAGACTCTGCTGAAAACTTGATTGAACAAGTCAATTATGAAGCTTTGAAGCTTAAGGTGGAAGGTAAGCATCAAAATCTTGCAGAAAAAATATTGAAACATTGTAGATTTTGCAACCTGTGCTTGAGTGATGATTCTTTTCTTAACGTAAATGACAAGTTGGAAAAGACTATTGAAACATTGCAGAATTTGCAAAATCAAATTAGTGACCTTGGCTTACAGAATTATTTTGGTTTGACTAAACAAGAAACTAGAACACCTTCAACTTGTTTGGTTGATGAATCTGATATCTTTGGTAGGCACAAGGAAATAAAGGATTTGATTGACCTTTTATTGTCTGAAGATGCAAGTGGAGGAAACCTGACTGTAGTTCCTATTGTTGGAATGGGCGGTGCGGGTAAGACAACACTAGCTAAAGTGGTTTACAATGATGAGAAGGTGAAGGACCATTTTGGTTTGAAAGCTTGGTATTGTGTTTCTGAGCCATATGATGCTTTCAGAATAACGAAAGGGTTACTTCAAGAAATTGGCTCATTTGACTCAAAGAACGACGGCAATTTTAATCAGCTACAGGTCAAACTGAAGGAAGGCCTGAAGGGAAAGAAGTTTCTTGTTGTCCTTGATGACGTGTGGAATGATGACTATAATGAGTGGGATAACCTGAGAAATGTTTTTGTACAAGGAGATGTTGGAAGTAAGATCATTGTAACTACACGTAAGGAGAGTGTTGCTAAGATGATGTGTGCTGATCGTTGCGCAATCACCGTGGGGACTCTGTCTAAAGATGACTCTTGGGCTTTATTCAAACGACATGCACTAGAAAATAGGGAACATTCAGAACTTGAAGAGGTTGGGAAAAAAATTGCAGACAAGTGCAAAGGGTTGCCTTTAGCTCTAAAGGCACTTGCTGGTGTTTTACGCGGCAAATCAGAGGTGGATGAGTGGAGAAACATTTTAAGAAGTGAAATATGGGATCAGCAAAGTTGTTGGAATGGTACATTACCAGCTTTGATGTTGAGCTACAATGATCTTCCTCCACATTTGAAGAGATGTTTTGCTTTTTGTGCAATATATCCCAAAGATTATGAATTCTGCAAAGACCAAGCTATTTACCTGTGGATTGCTAATGGTCTTGTAAAGCAGTTTTGTTTAGGTAACGAATACTTTGACGAGTTGAGATCAAGATCATTGTTCGAAAGGGTCCCAGAGTCTGAATGGGAATCGGAGAGATTCTTAATGCATGACCTTATCAATGATTTGGCCAAAATTGCATCTTCAAAACTTTGTATTAGATTGGAAGAGAACGAAGGATCTGATGATATGTTGGAACAAAGTCGGCACATGTCCTATTCCTTGGGATATGATGGTGAATTTGAGAAATTGAAACTACTCTCCAAATCAGAGCAGTTGAGGACATTGCTTCCAACCAATATTGGTTACTCATCTCAGCTAAGCAAGAGGGTGTTGCATAACATACTGCCAAGACTGACGTCCTTAAGGGCATTATCATTGTCAGGTTATCCGACTATTGAGTTGCCAAATGACTTGTTTATCAAATTAAAGCTCCTCAGATTTTTGGACCTTTCTGAGACACATATTAAAAAGTTACCAGATTCCATTTGTGTCTTGTATAACTTGGAAACACTTCTCCTGTCATCTTGTCAATTTCTTGAGGAGCTACCGCTGCAGATGGAGAAGTTGATCAACTTGCGACACCTCGACATAACCAACACTTGTTGCTTGAAGATGCCGCTACATCTTAGCAAGTTGAAAAGTCTCCAAATGCTAGTGGGAGCCAAGTTTCTTGTAGGTGGTAGCGGTGGTTTGAGAATGGAAGATTTGGGTGAAGTACATAACTTGTATGGATCTCTATCAGTTTTAGAGTTGCAAAATGTGGTTGATAGAAGGGAAGCTGTGAAGGCAAATATGAAGGAAAAGGAACATGTTGAGAAGTTATCTTTGAAGTGGAGTGAAGGTAGTTCTGCCAACGATTCACAAACTGAAAGATCCATACTGGATGGGCTACGGCCATACACAAACATAAAAGCAGTCGAAATCACCGGATATAGAGGGACAAGATTTTCAAATTGGCTGGCTGATCCTTCATTTCTTCAGCTAGTAGATTTGTCTCTTAGCGACTGCAAGGACTGTGATTCTTTGCCAGCACTAGGACAACTTCCTTCTTTGAAATTCCTTTCCATTAGAGGGATGCATGGAATAACAGAGGTGACGGATGAGTTCTATGGCAGTTCATCCTCCAAAAAGCCTTTTAACTGTCTTGAGAAGCTTGAATTTGAAGATATGCCGGAGTGGAAGCAATGGCACGTACTAGGAAGTGGGGAGTTCCCTATACTTGAGTACCTTTCAATTGAAAAATGTCCGAAGTTGATGGGGAAGTTGCCTGAAAATCTATGTTGTCTGACAGAATTGAGAATTTTAAAGACAACTCTTTTTGATGAAGCTCAAATGTTTAGATCCCAATTTGAGGGAATGATGCAGATTGAGGAATTATATATCGACAATTGTGACTCTGTTACCTCCTTACCTTTTAGCATACTGCCCAGTTCCTTGAAGAGAATAACCATATCTGGTTGTCAGAAATTGAAATTGGAGGAGCCAGTTGGTTATTGTAACATGTTTCTCGAGAAATTGACACTGTTTAAATGTGATTGTATAGATGATAGATCACCTGAGTTGCTCCCAAGAGCACGCATTTTGAGTGTAGAGCGTTGCAATAACCTTACTAGTTTTTTGATTCCTACTGCAACTGAAAGTCTCACTATTTGGGGATGTGAGAATCTTGAAATACTTTCGGTGGCAGTTGGAACCCATGAGTCTGCAATGACGTCTTTGCGTATTTGGAATTGTGAGAAGCTGAAGTGTCTGCCAGAAATAGAACTCTTCAATTTACAAGTCCTTGAGATCTATTATTGCAAGAAACTAGTGAACGGCCGAAAGGAGTGGTGTTTACAGAGACTCCCCTGTCTCACAGAGTTAGAGATCAGACATGATGGCAGTGACGAAGGGATCCAACATTGGGAGTTGCCTTCCTCTATTAAAAGACTTACCATGAAGAATCTGAAAACGTTAAGCAGCCAAGTTCTCAAAAGCCTCACCTCTCTTGAATATCTATCTATTGAGGATAGTTTACCTCAAATTCAGTCACTGCAGGAACAAGGTCAGCTTCCCTCCTCTCTTTCTGTGCTAAATTTATGTCACCATGATGAGCTCCATTCACTACATCTTTGCCACCTCACTTCACTTAGACGTCTACACATCTGGAATTGCCCTAATCTCCAATCACTCTCCGAATCAACACTGCCCTCCTCCCTCTCTCAGCTGACCATCGAGAATTGCGATAATCTCCAATCACTTTCCGAATCAGCATTGCCCTCCTCCCTCTCTCAGCTGACCATCATAAATTGCCCTAATCTCCAATCACTCTCCGAATCAGCACTACCCTCCTCCCTCTCTGAGCTAACCATCAGCAATTGTCGTAATCTCCAATCACTCTCCGAACCAGCACTGCCATCCTCCCTCTCTAAGCTGACCATCATGAATTTCCCTAATCTCCAATTACTTCCAGTAAAAGGGATGCCCTCTTCCCTCTCTACACTAAATATTCACAACTGCCCATTGCTCACACCACTACTAGAATTTGACAAGGGAAAATACTGGCAAATTATTGCTCAAATTCCCAATATATATATTGATGGAGAATACCTGTAATGATTAAAACAAATGGTGCTCTGACAAATGTAAGTTATTCCTCTCCCTCATAAGCTTTTTATTTTTGTTTACTTCACTTTGCTTTTTAGTTACTACTTTTCCTTTTGTAAATCTTGTTGAGCAGTGTGGAAAGTATATATGGCGTACATTAATTAAGCAGACTTTGAGAGAATGTTTTATTCATAATTTATAAAAATGAACGGTGTCATACATAAATTCATCCATCTTTTTATCTTTAATTTTATACTATTCTATAATGAAGTAGTAATTTTGAATCATTTTGTTTATTGTTTTAATCATATATTCATCTCTTATTAATTCTTTTAGTTTTAGTTGATGCATATAAGTTGTTCAAACTATGATGCCGGCTTACTTATCACGCTTTGTTGCAATTTATTGTCCAGATAACATGACAGTTAGTTTAGTGGAATTCTCCTTTGCTTGTCTATTAGCTTGATTTGGTTGTTGATCAATTGTTATTGTTGGAATTGTTCGATCTTCTCTTTGTTGTTCTTAAACTTCAGCAACTAAAATCATGAATGGCTAGAAACAGAGATGAATTTAAGGCTAGTATCTGCATAGACGTACAGTGATGTATTGAGACTATTTTAGAGGTTTAACAACTGAGAAGCCTTCCATTCTTGATTAATTAAGATGAATTGGCAGCTTGGCTCCCTTCAGTTCTTAAAAAATTACTCGTGAGCCATAGTTGACGAATTGAATTTGAAGCTTCTCACTTGGCCGTAAGTTTAGGCATCAAATTTGGTAGTCAAATAAATCCATAATATTTCATTTATTGTCTTGAGTAATCATTCATGTGCAGCTATCTATATATATAGATGTGGTGCGCTGGTCTGTAATTGTAATACGTGGATTGGCTAAGAGTTCTAACATGTCTTTTTTAATTACTTTCCGTAAGGGTGTCGCTATTTCCAAATTGTACAGCTATCTACTTTGGCTTGCTTGAGATGAAGCATCACTTGCTGCAAATGGAACATTCAGCTCTAATGAAACCCAAAGGTACATGAGAAAAAAGTTGCATAATGTAACAAATAAGAGACATATTGTACATTATGGTAATAGATTATAAGTATAGCTATTACTTTTTCATTGTTACGATTTTGACAAGCCTCAACGATTATTTAGGAAGTGAAAAGTTTTGAAGGTCTCTCTGCTCAAGTCAAGAAGCGAAAGTTGTTGAACCTTCAAGTGGTATGTATTCTTCTCATACATGGGTGGAGCTAGAGAGGAAGCTATGGGTTCGACAGAGACTGGTAGCCATACTAAACAAGATAAACATTGTAATGAATGGTCTACGATTACTATTTTCACTTATCCTCTTCTTTGTCAGGATTTTGGTAACAATACGTAAGGTGTTACAGCTCTTAGCTCAGTTGGTAAAAGGAAAATTTTGCTGCAATTCTCTGTTGAATAGACCGTAACTTCAATGTGGTCGTGACAGAAAAGTGTAAGTGCTTAAGATAGGTTCGCAGTTTTGTTATTGCCGACTGTAAACATTATGCTTATGGTTTGAACTGTTTATTAATAAATTTGTGTGATCATCAGAATGATCTATCTCTTTTCTATTAATGATGTTTAATTTTCTTTTCAGGATATAAATAGCTCCATAGAGAATCTAAATTTTAGAAATGATAATCACGGATAACAATAAGAAGTTTTAGGGAATAAGTAAACTTCCATTATCAGGATTTTTGGAGCAATACGACATCCAATTGTTGTTTCAGTTAGATTGCTCATTTATTTACAAATGTAAGCTTAGGTTTTTCCAAAATGATAGCAAAAACTCGAGTCCCTTTTCAGCAATCATGTGATGCTAACTTCTTCTGTTGTTTTGCATTTCCGTCTTTGCTTTTAGCCTAAGCTTGGGATGATTATTAACCTTGTCATCTGGAATTTGATAAGCATAAAAAGATATGTTTTACTCCTCATGATATGCAGTTATGCAGTTGTAGAGATGAAGTCTCTGTGAGTTGAGGTGACTAGTGTCTTCCCATGTTATCAGTTCAGTTAGCTATGTTTCAGTTTCTCCTTGCATACTCGTACATTCAATGTACTGATGTCATTCAACCTGCATCCTTTTATGATGCAGATACATGTGTTTAGGATCAACATGTGCTTCAATAAGATCATTTGACATTCCAGTTAGCTTGGTGATCCTTCTTATATTCCGGAGGACTTCACCTTTACCTTATGGTTAGTAGTTTTGAGATGTCGCGGGTCTTGTCTCGATTTCCTTCTATAATAGTAGAAACTTCATAGATAGATAGAGTTAAGGAGTTTTTTTTAGTAATTATTTTCCTTTGAGTTGCTTTACAAACTATATTGTTGTTGATTATTTTTTTCAGACTTTATGAGTTGAGTATTTTGAGGTTAACTGATTTCATTCAGTTTTAAGCCTATTATTGCTTGAGTTAGTTTTCCGCTCGTAGTCGGCCAGGATGAGGTTACGCTTGGGGACAAGCAATGGTTCTCGAGTGCCGGCCACGTCCAGGGTGTAGGCTTGGGTTGTGACATACATTTTACTGCAGGAATATACTTGATCAGGTGTTCTATGAATATATATTTGTAGACTTTGAAATTGTGTAATCCTGACAATTTGTAGTGTTAATCTGCTTTACTCTCATCACTACCTTCTTTGCTACATTATAGGACCTGGACTGCAAGTGGTCTTAGATTCAAGAGACAACTGAAAATTGGTATAGCGAGTTTGAGAGTAGAGGACTAACCAAATAGGCTGTTAAAATTTACATCACCCTTACCTTAGTCTTTACTAGTTTTTCCTTACAGGGAGTTTGACAGTTTTTTTTTAAAGTTTTGCATGTATGTTATGAGAAGTATCCCCTCTAGAATGGTTCTATGGCAAACTAACAAACAACTTTCTATTTTGTCAGGAACTTGACAACTGTATGACAGTCTTTATGAGAATAATTTGCCAGCAAATACAATGTCATTTTTTTGTGGGAGGTTCTTTCAGTTAATAGATGAAGTTTACAACTGGAAGCTATTAATCCCTCTACGTTCCGGTAATTCATTAATTGCTCTGTCTATCTCTGAACTATTTATTAATGCCATCTGTTGCTTGAAACATGTTTACACCTGACACAGGTGAGGACTGGCCTAAAGTTTATCAAAAATACAAAAAATGATGCCGTCTTACTTGCTATGCTTTGTTGCAGTTTACTGTCCTATTAACTTGACAGTTAATTTTGTGAAATTCTTCTTTGCTTGTCTATTAACTTGATTTGGTTATTGATCAATTGTTATTGTTGGAATTGTTCGATCTTGTCTTCGTTGTTCTTAAACTTCAATAACTAAAATCATGAATGGCTAGAAACAGAGATGAATTTAAGGCTAGTATCTGCATAGACGTATCATGATGTATTAAGACTATTTTAGAGGTTTAACAACTGAGAAGCCTTTCATTCTTGATTAATTAAGATGAATTGGCAGCTTGGCTCCCTTCAGTTCTTAAAAAAATTACTCGTGAGCCATAGTTGACGTATTGAATTTGAAGCTTCTCACTTGGCAGTAAGTTTAGGCATCAAATTTGGTAGTCAAATAAATCCATAATATTTCATTTATTGTCTTGAGTAATCATTCATGTGCAGCTATATATATGGATTGGTTAAGAGTTCTAACATGTCTTGAGTAATCATTCATGTGCAGCTATATATATGGATTGGTTAAGAGTTCTAACATGTCTTGAGTAATCATTCATGTGCAGCTATATATATGGATTGGTTAAGAGTTCTAACATGTCTTTTTAATTTCATTCCGTAAGGGTGTCGCTGTCTCCAAATCGTACAGCTATCTACTTTGGCTTGCTTGAGATGAAGCATCACTTGCTGCAAGTGGAACATCCAGCTCTAATGAAACCCAAAGGTACATGAGAAAAAAGTTGCTTAATGTAACAAATAAGAGACATATGGTACATTATGGTAATAGATTATAAGTAAAGATATTACTTTTTTGTTGTTAGGATTTTTACAAGGCTCAACGATTATTTAGGAAGTGAAAAGTTTCGAAGGTCTCTCTACTCAAGTCAAGAAGCGAAAGTTGTTGAACCTTCAAGTGGTATGTATTCTTATGTTGGTTTGTACACCAGGACTATGAATGTAATAGCTTGTATTGTTGACTTTGGGTCCTAGTATCGCACAACTTTAAACGTGTCACTTGGGTTTAAGGTCGCTTCTTTATATACCAGCAATCTACATATCTCTTGTGCTTTGTCGATGTGGTATTTGCCTAGGATGCTACAATGATTTTCTTTTTACTATGGATACCAAGACACAAAGCAAAAGACGACACAATTATTGGACTTTCTGTATTGAGGAATCAGAATTTCTGAACGTGAATGATTAGAGAAAACTGTAAATGCAATGTACAATGTACAAGAAACAGGGGAGACTTTGAGGAGTGAAATTTGTTTGCATAATTTTTTTAATGTTGTTATTACTGATTAATGATGTATGTGTATTTCAGTTCATTTTTATTTTTCTTTCTCCACCTTATATTATATATTTTCTTTAGTGGAAATCTTCTCATACATGGGCGGAGCTAGAGAGGAAGCTATGGGATCGACAGAGACTGGTAACTATACAAAACAAGACAAACATTACAGAGATTGCCATCGGTCTCCGAATCAACACTGCCCTCCTCCCTCTCTCAGCTGACAATAGATGATTGCGATAATCTCCAATCACTCTCCAAATCAACACTTCCCTCCTCCCTCTCTAACAGAGAAGTTGTCATTCAACTTATACTCACATGATTACAGCAGTTTTTCCACTAATAAGGACATGGGAATTCTAATAGTAAGTTTAGATATTGTTGATAATATGGTTTTCATTGTTTGAAAGTTGTTTAACCTGTAGCTCCTAATTGTGATGCTTCATTTACACATTTTCCAAATTTTATCTTATTACAGGGATAAAGCCTGTCTAAGTCAATTAGATGTTACAGATTTGCAACTAATTGTTGTGCGTTATACAATCGCATATTTCTTGGATGGAAGGTATGGATTGGTTTCTCATTGCTTATTGATTTATGCTCTTATCACGTGGTAATTTCACATCTCAATTGCGAAAGACATCATATGTAGTTTGTTCAACCATGTTTAATCGAAATTTTTAAGTTCTTGTAAGCATCAAACATTCCATGTCAAGAATGAAACTTTGCTTAACAGTAGAACAAAGATCTGCTGTCACTATAGAAAATCTTTTTAAATGAATCTATGCAGAATAATTGTACTTGTACCATCCTTCAATGTTTGCACATATTTAATTGTGCCAAACATGACGATGATTACTAAGGTTTGTCAATTGGTTTCTAAATTGAATATAAGGTGAGTTTTCTATTGAAGCTTACAGATTTTCTTACAAATATTTATGTAGGCTGGGATATACTTGAAAGCATAAGAAGAACGAATATGCATCAATCATCCATGGGAATGTATACTTAAGAGGAGACAATGGCGACCACCACATCTATTTGTTAGGGCATAAAAAGAACATGTCTAAGGTATGAAAACTCTTGCAAGATTCTGTCTTTAGGAATCATTCATGTACATCTATGTGTATTGAGACGTGTGTGCGCTGGTCTGTAATTGCAATATATATGTGGATTGGTGATGAATTCTAAAATTCTTTATAATTGCTTTCAGTAAGGAGGTTGTGATTTCCAATTCGTACCGCTGTCTACTGTGGCTTCCTTGAGATGAAGCATGACTTTCTGCAAATGGAACATCCAGCTCTAATGTACCCAAACACCGGATGTGGACAAGACCATGGTTGTTTACACTTCAATTCAGTTTCCTGAGTATACACATAGTGTGATTGCTCGTTGTCTTGGTGTTCCTGAGCATAGTATCCGTGTGATAACAAGAAGGGCTGGAGGTGGCTTCAGTGGCAAGAAATATGCCCATAGTACTATTAACAGAGAAAAAATTGAAAGTTTTTAGAATAGTTTTGAAACATTAGCAAGGCTCAACAATGATTTGGGAAGTGAATTTTTTTTTGTAAGGTCCCTTTGCTTAAGTCGAGAAGGGAAAGTTGTTGAATCTTTATGTGGTAGTTACTCTTATGTTGGATTGAACATCAGGACTATGGACGCTTCTTATGTTGGTAAACATATTTATGATATGGTAGGCCCCTTTTAACGCTATAGTGAGCTGGGTAGAAATCTATCATTTTAATCTCTTTTATTTTTGAGTCCCCCACCCAGTCCCCCTTTCTACATCCCTAATAAATTATCCTTACTCTCTTGCTTCAATTATAGAATTGAGAAAGTTATGAATTTGCTTCAATTTATCATTATCTTCTTGATGTTTGAAAAGTCTTAATTTTGGAAGGAAAAAAAATGACAGTTGGTGGTGCATTTTTCTCTTGAGCTTTGAGATATTCTGTATCGTTAACACCATGGTTTATTATGTATAAAAATAATATTAAATAAAGTATATAATACAACTAACACATGTATTATTATTTTTTTAGAGAAAATGTTTTAATATACTTCTTAACTTTGTCATTTAATGTTGATACAACTTTCGTTAAAAAAGTGGCTCACATATACCTCTATTGTTACACAAATGATTCACATATACCCTTTTCTTCTAACGAAAGTTTTAAAAAATCAATTTAAAATTTATTTTTGAAAAAACCATTTATGTAGGGATATATTTGATCCTTCTCACACATATTTATTATTTTGATGGTCAAATTTATTTTTACTAAATTTCGTGTAAAATTTATTATGTATACCCCAATTATTTTTGCAGATACAAAAAATAAATTACAACATATTCAAAAATATTAGCTTTAAATCTTTTTCTTCTTTTTTTTTTTAAAAAAAAAGAATTCTCATATTAATTTTTGTTAGGTTTTGATGTGTAATTAAGAGGGGTAGGTAAGTTGATTGGTAACCAATAAATTTTATCAATTACTTTTGGCACAACTTGTGTTGTCTTGGCCTCATATCCTTTTCCACTACATCACAAATAGCCCAACAATCAATATATTATATATAATAGAGCACATGATCGCAAAATTGATATACTAGCTTATTTGAGCACAAATTTTAAGAAATAAAAAGAGATTTTCAAAATTTATAATTTTAAATTTAAATGTATGTGTTCTTTAAATTTTATGATCTTAAATTTTCCAAAAGTCATGAACAAACTAAAAGGTGCATTAACTTATTAAAATCTTATGATGCATAAATGCACTAATTAAGTTCAATATAAAAGATCACACATGATGAGACAATTATAATAAGAGATTATTTTGATTTAAAAAGGTAAACCACATGGAATCTAATTAAATATAAAATAATCAAATGTCCTTGAGAAAACTTTTTGTCCGTACTGATTAGTGCACAATCAAATTTATTAAAAATTACTCATGCAATAGAATTGAAAAGTTGTTACAAAAACATGCCGCTTACCATATTTGTATTGGCGCAATTTAAATTAAAGTTTTATTCAACTGTCTACAAAAGCATCACGTCTTGTTTACACTTGAAATTAAAAAATTACCTTATAAGTTGTTAAAACAAAATTTTAGTAGTAGATTTTCACGTGAGAAATCAAACACTTGAACATCAATTAAAGAATATGATTTATATGATAAGCAAAAAATAAAGAAACAAAAAGAAAAGAGCTTTGACCTTCAACGGGATTAAAACTTGTGAAGAAAAGTCCCTATTACATTGCAACATCAATTTGACATCAAAGTCCTATATTTCTTATTATCAATTTGTATTAAGCAGAGTGTTTTAACAAAGGACAAAAAGTTCGATCAACATTTCTAAAAAAGGTCTTCATGCTTTTTATTTTTTAATATAGTTAATAGTATAATAGATAGATACTAGAACTGCTAATGTGCTTCTTCAAGGAACTCTGCCACTTAACATTGAGCTCCAATAAACATTGAGATGTTATCCGCGAGTGTGTTGCACACATGTACGTATTTGGCTAAATTACCCAAAAATGTCAAAATAGCACAGCTGAACCTTGTATTGATGTTTAATTAAATGATACAAGTCTTTGGTCTCTAAATGGTCCCCGTTTTCTACGACCACCAATTGAGAGAGCAATGAATAGGCACTAACAAACATAGTTTTTACCAATTACAACTTCTTGTTTGCAAATTTACTAGCAAAAGAGAGAGAAATCAGTGATCATTCTTGTTTGCAAATTACTCTTAGCTTCAACAGGTAAAGTGAGGTTGTTAGTAATTGAACATACAAACATTCATCTTCTCAAATTTCTTAAAATCATTTTGTGTTTTGCTTTGCAGATTTCAGAAATGGAGATTGGCTTAGCAGTTGGTGGTGCATTTATCTCTTCAGCTTTGAATGTTCTCTTTAATAGGCTTACTCCTCAGGGTGAGCTGCTCAAAATGTTTCAGAAGCATACCGATGGTGTTCAGCTCTTAGAGAAGCTGGAGGAGATTTTGCTTGGTCTTCAAATTGGGCTAAGTGATGCAGAGAATAAGCAAGCATCAAATCTACTCGTGAGCAAGTGGTTAAATAAGCTTCAGAGTGCTGTGGAATCTGCTGAAAACTTAATAGAACAAGTCAATTATGAAGCTTTTGTGGGGTCCAGTCCCACTTTTCTTTTTTAGTGTCAACAATTGCTGCATGCAATTGTCAATTGTTGGCAAATTGCAATAGCAGCAATTGTTGAAAAACACAGCAATTAAAAATGCTTTCGGTGGCACAACTTTGACATACTATGTATAGTGTTGAAATTTGCAGTTGCAAATTTCTTCTATAAATAGAGAGCCCTTTGCTCATTCCCAAACACACCAATTCACAGAGAGTAAAATATTTAGAGAGCTGTGAGGTTTCCATAGACTATATAAGAAAATAGTCTGTGAAGAAAAATAGAGTGTGAGCGATATTTTAGTAAGGTGGAAACCAAAAGAGTGTTATTCCTTTTGAGTGTGTAGTAGTCACTTTGAGTATTGTACTCGTGACTACAGTGTAAAATTCCTTACTATAGTAATATCAGTTGCTCCTCTTGGCCCGTGGTTTTTCCCTTATTTAGAAGGGTTTCCACGTAAAATTCTTGGTGTCATTATTTTCCCATTTTATTTCCATTACTTTTACCATATATATTTTTGTGCTTGTCCGTGTTTTCCCAACAGCTTTGAGGCTTAAGGTGGAAGGTGAGCATCAAAATCTCGAAGAAACAAGCACCCAGCAAGTAAGTGACCTCAACCTTTGCTTGAGTGATGATTTCTTTCTTAAGTTGGAAGACACTATTAAAAAATTGGAGGTGTTGGAAAAGCAAATTGGTCGCCTTGGCTTGAAGGAGCATTTTGGTTCGACTAAACAAGAAACTAGAACACCTTCAACTTCTTTGGTTGATGAATCTGATATCTTTGGTAGGCACAAGGAAATAAAGGATTTGATTGACCGTTTATTGTCTGAAGATGCAAGTAGAGGAAACCTGACTGTAGTTCCTATTGTTGGAATGGGCGGCGCGGGTAAGACAACACTAGCTAACGTGGTTTACAATGATGAGAAGGTGAAGAACCATTTTGGTTTGAAAGCTTGGTATTGTGTTTCTGAGCCATATGATGCTTTGAGAATAACGAAAAGGTTACTTCAAGGAATTGGCTCATTTGACTCGAAGGATGACGGCAATCTTAATCAGCTACAGGTCAAATTGAAGGAAAGCCTGAAGGGAATAAAGTTTCTTGTTGTCCTTGATGATGTGTGGAATGATACCTATAGTGAGTGGGATAACCTGAGAAGTGTTTTTGTACAAGGAGTTATGGGAAGTAAGATCATTGTAACTACACGTAAGGAGAGTGTTGCTCAAATGATGTGTGCTGATCATTGTGCAATCACCATGGGGACTCTGTCTAGTGAAGACTCTTGGGCTTTATTCAAACGACATTCACTAGAAAATAGGGATCATCCAGAACTTCAAGAGGTTGGGAAAAAAATTGCAGACAAGTGCAAAGGGTTGCCTTTAGCTCTAAAGACAGTTGCTGGTACTTTACGCGGCAAATCAGAGGTAGAAGAGTGGAGAAACATTTTAAGAAGTGAAATATGGGACCAGCATTGTTTGAATGGTATATTACCAGCGTTGAAGTTGAGCTACAATGATCTTCCTGCACATTTGAAGCAATGTTTTGCTTTTTGTGCAATATATCCCAAAGATTATGAATTCTGCAAAGACCTACTTATTTACCTGTGGATTGCTAATGGTCTTGTAAAACAGTTTTGTTTAGGTAAGGAATACTTTGACGAGTTGAGATCAAGATCATTGTTCGAAAGGGTCCCAGAGTCTGAATGGGAATGGGAGAGATTCTTAATGCATGACCTTATCAATGATTTGGCCCAAATTGCATCTTCAAAACTTTGTATTAGGTTGGAAGAGAGCAAAGGATCTGATGATATGTTGGAACAAAGTCGACACATGTCCTATTCCATGGAACGAGGTGGTGAATTTGAGAAATTGAAACAACTCTCCAAATCAGAGCAGCTGAGGACATTGCTTCCAATCAATATCGGTTACTCATCTGACCTAAGCAAGAGGGTGCTGCATAACATACTGCCAGGACTAACATCCTTAAGGGCATTATCATTGTCAGGTTATGACATTGAGGAGTTTCCAGATAACTAGTTTATCAAATTAAAGCTCCTCAGATTTTTGGACCTTTCTCAGACATGTATTGAAAAGTTGCCAGATTCCGTTTGTGCATTGTATAAATTGGAGACACTTCTCTTGTCATCTTGTACTTCTCTTGAAGAGTTACCGCTGCAGATGGAAAAGTTGATTAACTTGCGTCATCTTGACATAAGCAACACTTGGGTCTTGAAGATGCCGCTACATCTGAGCAAGTTGAAAAGCCTCCAAGTGCTAGTGGGAGCCAAGTTTCTTCTAAGTGGTTTGAGAATGGAAGATTTGGGTAATCTACATAACTTGTATGGATCTGTATCAGTTTTAGAGTTGCAAAACGTGGTTGATAGAAGGGAAGCTGTGAGGGCAAAGATAAGGGAGAAGAATCATGTTGAGAAGTTATCTTTGGAGTGGAGTGAAAGTAGTAGTGCCGACAATTCACAAACTGAAAGAGACATACTTGATGAGCTACGCCCACATAAAAACATAAAACAACTCCAAATCACCGGATATAGAGGGACAAATTTTCCAAATTGGCTAGTTGATGTTTCGTTTCTTAAGCTAGTAGAGTTGTCTCTTAGAAACTGCGAGGACTGTTATTCCTTGCCAGCACTAGGAGAACTCCCTTGTTTGAAATTCCTTTCCATTATAGGAATGCATGGAATAACAGAGGTGACGCATGAATTCTATGGCAGTTCATCCTCCAAAAAGCCTTTTAACTCTCTTGAGGTGCTTGAATTTAAAGATATGCCGGAGTGGAAACAATGGCACGTACTAGGAAGTGAGGAGTTCCCTATACTTGAGAACCTTTCAATTGAAAATTGTCCGAAGTTGATGGGGAAGTTGCCTGAAAATCTTTCTTCTCTGATAGAATTGAGAATTTCAAGGACACCTCTTTTTGACGAGGCTGGACTGTTTGCATCCCAACTTCAGGCTGACAGAATCGTTGTATTATCTATTGAGTATTGTAACTCTGTTACCTCCTTACCTTTTAGGATACTGTCCAGTTCCTTGAAGAGAATAATGATATCTCATTGCCAGAAATTGATATTGGAGGAATCAGTTGGTTATTGTAACATGTTTCTGGAGGAATTGAGACTGCGTGAAGGTGATTGTATAGATGATATGTCACCTGAGTTGTTCCCAAGAGCACGCAATTTGTATGTATATAGTTGCGACAACCTTACTAGGTTTTTGATTCCTACTGCCACTGAAACTCTCTTTATTGGGAATTGTAAGAATGTTGAAAAACTTTCGGTGGCATGTGGGGGGGACCCAGATAACGTTTTTAAGTATTGAGGGCTGTTGGAAGCTGAAGTGGCTGCCAGAACGTATGCAGGAACTCCTTCCATCTCTTAAGAAATTGGTTCTGCTAAGTTGTCCAGAAATAGAGTCTTTTCCTGAAGGAGGATTGCCCTTTAATTTACAATTCTTTAAGATTGACAATTGCAAGAAACTGGTGAATGGATGAAAAGAGTGGCTTTTACCGAGACTCAGAGAGTTAGTGATCAGACATGATGGCAGTGATGAAGAGATTGAACATTGGGAGTTGCCTTCATCAATTACAAGTCTTAACATACACAATCTGAAAACATTAAGCATCCAAGTTCTCCAAACCCTCACCTCTCTTCACTATCTATCTACTTCTAATTTACCTCAAATTCAGTCAATGCTGGAAGTTGGGAGTTGCCTTCCCTCGTCTCTTTCAGAGCTACGTTTAGAATACCATGATGAGCTCCATTCACTACATCTTTGCCACCTCACTTCACTTCAAAGTCTACACATCTGGGATTGCCCTAATCTCCAATCACTTTCTGAATCAGCACTGCCCTCCTCCCTCTCTCACCTGCGTATATGGAATTGCCGTAATCTCCAATCTCTTTCAGTAAAAGGGATGCCCTCTTCCCTCTCTGAACTATCTATTCTCAACTGCCCATTGCTCACACCACTACTAGAATTTGACAAGGGGGAATACTGGCCAAATATTGCTCAAATTCCCATCATATGTATTGATGGTAACTACCAGTAATGATTAAAATGAATGGTGCTCTGACAAATGTAAGTTATTCTTTTCCCTCAGAAGCTTTTTATTTTTGTTTAATTCACTTTGCTGTTTTTGCGAACTCTTTTCCTTTTTTTATGTCTTGTCGAGCAGTGTGGAGCGTCTATTGCTCAAACAGCAGCTACTGACCAAAAATTGCTCATATTTCCACCATAATGTTGATTGGGAGAGACAGTAATGATTAAAACGAGTGGTGCTTCAATAGATGTAAGTTATTCTATTTCCTTAGTATCTTTTCATTTTTGGTTAAAAAAAATTCTTTGTTAAATCTTTTTGACCAGTGTGTGTAGCCATCTATTGCTTCTGTGAAGTCGAGGAAATATCTATAGATCAGGATAAAATCTATATATTTGCGACATTGTAAAAGAAATCTAATATAGGTAGGAATTGAGATAATTTGCTCTGCTGTTGGTTTAATATACGTCAGCAAGATTTTTATAGCAACTCATTACTGGTGTAAACAACTTTATTCTACAACTAACAGCAAGACAAATCTCACTCGTTATCTTAGTTGACTATTAAGACTCACTTTTCTTCTCTATTAATCTATGTTCTCTCTCAGATCTTGTAGACTAGAATATTTTTCGCCATCACGAAAATTCTGCTCATATCTCCACCATAGAAGTCGATGGAGAATACATTTAATGGTTAAACTGAATGGTGCTCTCGCAAATGTAAGTTTTTCTTTGTCCTCAGAAGCTTTCTATTTTTGTTTACTTCCCTTTGCTTTCCCTTTTTTAAGATCTTGTTGAGTAGTATGGAGTGTCTATTGCCACTATGAAGTCGAGAAATCATCTTCAGCTCGAGATAAATTGAATTTTAGATGACCACAAAAAACAAAGGTGATAAAAAAAATTATATTCGTGTGGGAACATGTAAAACGAAATCTAGTATATATAGGAATTAAAATAACTTGCTCCACAAAATCTTGTTCTTTCCGTTTTCAGTGAGTTTAGAGTTATGCACATGTCCACTATTGAATTCAAAGCTTTAATAGAATTCAAAGGTGTACAATACACAAGGTTTGTTTCCGATCTATCAAAAATATATAAAAGCTTGCCTGCCAATAAATTTAACACCTAAAAGCATCAGCACTATTCAGGTTTTTATTAATGATTATTGTATATCAACTGAGCAAATTTCTTTCTTTGTCAGGATTCTGGTAACATTATATGTAAGCTATTACCGCTCTAGATCAGTTTGTAAAAGGAAAGCTCTGCTGCAATTCTCTATTGAATAGGCCGTTGCTTGAATGTGGTCTGACAGCAAAGTGTAAGTGAATAAAGATAGTTTCGCAGTTTTGTCGCTGACTGTAAACGTTAAGTTTATGCTTTGAACTGTCTATACATAAATATATGTGATCATCGGAATGATGTATATCTTTGATATTAATGACATTTAATATTCTTTTCAGAATATAAATTATGTCGTGCTCATCATCAAGTGCGTAGCTTTATATTTATGCTCCTAAATTTTAGAAAAGATAATCACGGATAATGATCATAAGTATTAAAAAATAAGTGAACTTCCAGCCAGAATTAGATGTGTTAGACTTGCGGCTAATTGTTGTGCGTTATATAATTCTTGGATGCCAGGTATTGGATTGGTTTCTCATTGCTTATTGACTTATACTCTTATCACGTTTTAATTTTACATCTTGTGAAAGACATCATATGTAGCTTGTGTAACCATGTTTAATCGAAAGTATTTAGTACTTGTAAGCATCAACCATCCCATGTCAAGAATGAAACTTTTCTTAATAGTAGAACGAAGATCTGTTGACACTATATAAAAAACTTTTTATGTGAATCTATGCAGGATACGTTGTATTTGCACTATCCTTCAATGTTTGCACATATTTAATTGTGCCACAACATGACCATGGATGACTATGATTTGTCAGTTGATTGCTAAATTGAATATTAGGTGAGTTTTCTATTGAAGCATATAGATTTCCTTACAAATATTTATGTAGGTTGGGGATATTCTTGAAAGCATAAGAAGAAAGAATATGCATCAATCATCCATGGAAATGTATACTTACGAGGAGACAATGGCCATCACCACATCTGTTTGTTGGGACATAAAAAGAGCATCCCTAAGGTATGGAGAAACTCTTGCAAGATTCTGTTACATCAGTATGAATATTGATCCTGACATTTTTTTTCTGTTTCTTGTGTCTCTGGAGTTCTCTCATTAAATAGGAAAAGATTTTAGTGTCAGTACTTCTCTATCTGAATCCATAGTTAGAAGTACAGGTATATGGGAATTGATGTCATTCATACTTGGGAACAATTGAAATTAATCATGAGGGAAAAGTATATCATCCAGCAGTACAAGCTGTTCAAAATATGATGCTGTCATACTTACTACTCTTTGTTGCAATTTACTGTCCAGATAACTTAACAGTTAATTTCGTGGAATTCTACTTTGCTTGCCTATTAGCTTGATTTGGTCGTTGATCAATTGTTGTTGTAGGAGTTGTTCGATCTTGTCTTAGTTGTTCTTAGACTTCTGTCAACAAAAATCATGAATGGTCAGAAAAATGCAATCGATTTGCATCAGAGATGAATCTAAGGCTAGTAAACGAATAGACGTGTCATGATGTATTATGACTATGCTAGAGGGTGAACAATTGAGAAGCCTTCGGTTCTTGATTAATTGAGATGAATTGGCGGCTTGGCTCCCTTCACATTGCTTTGTTCCTCTAGCTTCTTCAGCATAAAAAATTGCTTGTGAGCCTTTTATGATATACTGAATTTGACACTTCTTCACTTGGCAGTAGGCTTAGAAATCACTTTTTGTAGTCAAATAGAACCAGAACCTTTCATTACTTGTCTAGAGTATTCATTCATGTGCAGCTGTAAGTATAAACAGTGTGTGGTCTGTAATTGTAACAAGGGGCTTGGCTTAGAGTTCTTAAATTTCTTTTTAATTGCTTTCAGTATGGAGGTTGTGATTTCCAAGTCATGCAGCCGTCGACTATGGCTTCCTTGAGATGAAGCATGACTTGCTGCAAATGGGACGTACAGCTTTGATGGAACCCAAAGGTACATGATAAATAAGTTGTTTAAGTAGCACACAAGAGAGATATTGACATTATGGTCATAGATTATAAGGAAAGATATTACTTTTTCATTGTTAGGATTTTGACAAGGCTCAGTGCTCATTTGGGAAGTGAAAAGTTTCGAAGGTCTCTCTGTTCAAGTCGAGAAGTGAAAGCTGTTGAACTATGTATGTAATAGCTTGTATTGTTGACTTTGGTCCCTAGGCTCCCTTGGGTCTAATGTCACTTCTTTTTACACCAACAACCAGTATCTTTCTTGCGTTTTGTTTTGTCGATGTGGTATATGCCTAGGATGCTACAATAATGGTGTTCTTTTTACTCTGGATACCAAGACAAAAAGCAAAAGACGACACAATTATTGGACTTTCTGTATTGAGAAATTGAAATTTCTGGACACAAATGGTTAGAGAAAACTGTAAATGCAATGTAAAATGTATAAGAAACAGGGGAGACTTTGAGGATTTGTGAATTGTTATAGCTCTTAGCTCAGTTGATAAAAGGAAATTTTTTCTGCAATTTTCTGCTGAATAGACAGTCACTTGAATGTGGTTGTGACTAAGATAGCTCTTAGCTCAGTTGGTATAAGTGAATAAAGACTAGCATTTTTATCGCTGAGTGTAAGTGCTGTTTTGTTATCGCTGAGTGTAAGTGCAAAATGACTAGTCACTTATCAGGATTTCTGAAACAATACAGCATCCAATTGTTGTCTCAGTTAGATTGCTCGTTTTGTTACAAATGTAACCGTAGGTTTTTCCAAAATGATAGCAAAAGCTTGAGTCCCATTTCAGCAGTCATGTGATGCTAATTTCTTCGGTTGTTTTGCATTTCCGTCTTTTCTTTTAACCTAAGCCTGGGATGATTATTAACCTTCTCATCTGGAATTTCATAAGCATAAAAAGATATATGGAAATCTGGCTCGGCAAGATCAGTTTGACATCCAAGACAGTGAAGAGCTTAACAGAATGAAGGAAGAAAATGCCAATCTACAAGAAAAGCTGAATGATGCAGGTATACATTCTTAATTGAGATTCCAGACGGTGCAAAATTGTAAAATATAAAAAATTGCTTGTGAGCCATATATAATATATTGAATTTTAAACTTCTTCACTTGCAGTAATCACTTTCTTAGTCAAATAAAACGATGGTATTTCATTACTTGTCTAGAGGAATCATACATGTACAACTATATATATAGAGACGTGTGTGCTGGTCTGTAATTGCAATATGTGGATTGGCCAAGAGTTCTAAAACTTCTTTTTAATTGGTTTTGGTAAGGAGGTTGTGATTTCCAAGTCGTACAGCTGTCTACTGTGCCTTCCTTGAGATGAAGCATGACTTGCTGCAAATGGAACATCAAGCTCTAATGTACCCAAACGCCGGATGTGGACAAGACCATGGTTGTTTACGCTTCAACTCAGTTTCCTGAGTATACGCATAGTGTGATTGCTCGTTGTCTTGGTGTTCCTGAGCATAATATCTGTGTGATAACAAGAAGGCCTTCGGTGGCTAGGCAGTAAGAAATATGCCAGTGAGTACCTATTAACAGAAGAAAAGTTTTGAAACATTTGCAAGGCTCAACACTTTTTTTTGTAAGGTCCCTTTGCTCAAGTCGAGAAGAGAAAACTGTTGAATCTTTTAGTGGTATTTATTCTTATGTTGGATTGAACACCAGGACTATGGATGTAATAGCTTGTATTGTTGAGACTTTAGGTCCTATGTTCGCATGACTTCAAGACGTGTCACTTGAGTCTAAGATTGCTTCTTTATACAATGACGTTCCTTTTACTCTGGATAAACAGTACATTAACTGAAAATTTCTCTAGGCTTAGAAAGAGAAATCTATCAAAAAAAAGGGAAAAAAGCTCAAAGTATCCAAGAAAGTGTCGGATTGCCATTTATTTTACCTTACTTTTTCCTTGTACACACTTTTTTTGTCTCCCACCAGGTGTTTGGAGCCCGCATTGGAGCTCCGACTAAATTCAGATCGCACTCTGCAGGGTCCATTTGAGGATGGCGCTCCCAATAGGATTTTCTCCATACCCAAAGCTCGACATAGTAAATATAGCTTTAGGCCTGGCATAATTTGCAAACATTATGCATTTCTATGGTACTTGTTTTGGTGTTTAATTAATTGTTATCTAAATGTGTGACGAACCTCTGACGACAAAACTCTTATGGCAGTACAAGTTCATCAAAAATAAGTCAACACTTGATTTTCTTGTTAAAAAAATGTGACGAAGGCATGTTGGTGACAAAATCGCATCAAATCATAAAGATGGTAACTATCGGAAACTTTTCTAGTTAAAGTTCTACTAAACTTGAAAATATTTAATTTGTATATTTTTTTATATATGTATTCCAGATACATGCAAATTCATTTGGATATAATGTATCTAGAACAAATTATACATAATTTAGACTCATGTATCCGAGATACATGTATATGGACATATCTGGAGGCACCAAAATTTGACAAGATACGAGTATTGCAAATTAGAGTGTATCTAAGTAGTCAACTCCTACACTAGTAGGATTTATATAAGCTCTCCTAATTTTCGATTTCTCTTAAATGGAAAACGTGTTTCACCAACAATGACTATTGATAAAGTATTACCTTAATTTGCATGTAACTTAATCTAATTTATCGTTAAAAAGGGTTAAAATCCCTTGTTAAATTTATAAAATTATTGATAAGATAAATTTAAAAATGATAACAGAAATAATAGTTTAAAACTTTGAATTAAACTACTTAAAAGACTCAACTTTGATAAGATTTCTTTCGGGTTTAATCAAACAAAATTGCACTCTCTCATTTGCTAAGAAACTCAAGCTAAACAATATAATTAGGATGAATTGTCTAAATAAATTTGTTATCTCCCAAATCAAAGCCAAAGGGCTTGGGTCAATATCTTCTTTTTGGACATGGATAACGCTAGGAAATTTCCCTCTCAGTGGGCAACAATATAATTACTCTGATATTAGGGAGACCATGTTTGGATAATCACAAAATATTAATTGAGGCAGAATAATCACAAAATATTAATTGAGGCAGAAGAAAATGTGTCATTGGTTGAGACAGAACCAAAAAAAGAGCCCTCTTAGTCTAATTTCACGAAAAATGGACAAATAGTTAGGTATATTCTCTACTTTTTTTTGGACATAATTTTCTTGTTTTGGACATATCAAATGAGGTTGCTTTTTTTGCATTAATACAAAGGCGGGTAACGAAATCCGACAATAGATTCAATTTGATAAGATTTCTTTTACCTTTCATTAAAAGACGATTTTGAGTATCCTTAGAAACGTTCTCTTTCGCTAAGAGTGTCCAGTCAAATCAGCAACAATTAATCTATTAGGAAGGGCTAACTAAATATGTAGACAGAGACTATTGGTTATAGCTTATTGCAAGTGCTTTTAGTTTTTAATTTTTTTTCTACTTTCCAAGCATTCTCTTAAACGTTTGAATTGATTCTAGTTAATACGATGTTAGTCATTTGTTTGTAACATATTAATTTGATGTTGTTGTAAAAACTTTATTTATTAATATGAAGATTTGAATTGTTTATTTTAAAGTTTTAAAATATTTTTGATAAAAGTAAATAGATTTTCTTTTTTTATTTTTAATTTAAATTTTGAGTTTTTTTCCTTACAAAAAGGTACAAAATTTATATAAATTTATATATATAATGTTTCAATGTCTCATGTTAAATTTATCAATAGGTCACTAGTTATATCATTGTATTCTTTGAGTAATAGCATAAGTTATTCTTAATATCTTATATGTTATATGGTATCTTATATGTTCATTCTCGTTTGAACTCCTAGTGGTCTGAGCATGACGGGGTATTAGAGTGCATTAGAGTATCACAATGATGTGGAAAATGAATTGTTGGTTTGCTTATATGGACTTGGGTAATCTTCATCTCGTAAGCTAGTTAGAGTCCCTAAGACTACATTGTGCATGTTACCATGTTAGAAAGAATTAATCTCTATTTATGGAGTCATAAACCGTTTTCATACAAGATAAGGACTAGTCAAATATGAAGATTGCATATTTTCCTTTTTCTAAAAGGAAAACTCAATCATGATAAGAAATTGAGGGCAAATACCCAACAGGAACAACTTCATGTGGCAACATAGAACTCTAAAATGCACACGACTTTAAAATGTGGTACAAGGGTCTAAGACTAGTTGCTTTATACTACCACCTTGTTTGGATGGTTAGTATTATTACCCATTATATTGTAATAGTTAGTTTAAAGAGAAAAGACATAAAGTCGCCATCGAAACTGTCCCGTATTTTCATAAAGACACCTTAACTTTGGAAGTGTCCTATCATCCCACAAAACTTTTTAATATCTTAGTAAATAGGTCATTTTGACCCATTCTCTCACCTGGGTTGTGACCACACACATGAGGCGTGTGATGCAGTGTTTTCAATGCCTTAACCAGTTTAAAAGTGTCACGTGTCACTTTATTTATTTATTATTAATTATTTAATTAATTTACATCATCTTCCCCAAATTTAAACTCAAAAGAGTCATTGGTCGCCCTCTCTTCATGATTTCATCTTTTTTTTCAAAGCAAGATCAACGTTGGTACTCTCTCTTTGACGAATTCATCATCTTCCTCAAATGCAATAAGGTAGGAATTCGTTTTCTCTTTAAATTTCCAGTAAAAAGGGTATTTTTTTTTGTATCACTAAAAGCATCAGATTCGATTTCATTACCAAAAACAATGAAACTGAAAATACACCACTCAGGAGGACAATGTAACTAAGAAAAAGGTTGAGATTAAGATAATTTATCGATCTTCAACAAAATTGTACTTTGAAATAACTATCTCTCAATTCAATACTTGATTGGAGCAATAATGGCGAGTTGAGGTCCAAGCTTCACCTCAGCAGCTTTCTCAGCCTTAACTCTAAGTTTTGCCAACTGCTTTCTCCTCTCGTATGCTACCCGAGCTCTCTCCTTCCTCTTCCTCTTGTTCTTGAGTTCCTTGATAGTATCGTAATGGTTCTATCCCCTCTGATGAAAGCTTGCCCAAGAGACAGTACATGTGTCCGGCTTGGAGCCTCAATACCTTTAGAGCATCAGGAATAACCATCCTCTTAATCTTGTCATATGGGGTGGGACACCCTCATAAATCTTGTAATTAAATTTTGATCAAAAATATCAAATTCAATTCTTGTTCCTCCAAGAATCTTGATAGAGAGACAAGAAAATGTGAAAGAATTTGGAAAGCTGAGAAATAACAAAGAAAAAAAGACTTTTCTACTTTAGTAAGGAATCGGGTCGGGATGAACGGGTTGAAAAGAGTGAGCATCACGCGCGATAATCCAGTCGAGGGAATGAGTCAAAATGGCCCATTTACAAAGATATTAAAAAGTTTTGTAGGGTGATAGGACACTTCCAAAGTTAAGGTGTCTTTATGAAAATACGGGACAACTTCAGTAGTGACTTTATGTAAATTACAATGTTTTTTTATTGTTACATAAATTTTATTGTATCATTTCGTTTAAATACATCGTTAGGTAACTACGTAAAGACCCATTTTATGTAACGACCGATTTGGTGTGATAGTATCACTACCTTAATATTTTCTTCTCATTTTCTCTTTATTTATTATTTAATAATAATATTTCATCTTTTATCCTAATATTTCTTAGGAGCTCTACTCCGTACCCTACTTTTCTTGTAGGTTTATCATTCAAATTATGGATGTGTGGCATTATGTAACGACGGAGAAAAATACAATCTATCTGAACATTGTATTCATTAAAACGATATAGTACATTACAATACAACACAATACAATATGATACATTATGAAATAATACATAACAACCATCCAAACAAAGTGTACATTAGCAATTAATATCTTTCTTTTATTTTGCTGGTGTGGTGTGGTATTTTTCTAAGATGTTATAATGACATTCTTTTTACTTTGAATATAAGAAGTATAAGAAACATGAAGATTTTGAGCAGTGAAATATGTTTGCATAATTTCTTAAAGTTATTACATATTAAATGATGTATATGTATTTCAGTTCATTTTGCTTAAAATTTATTTAATTTTCTTTCTCTTTCTTTATATTATATTTTCTTTAATGGAAATCTTACCATACATGGATAAAGTTAGAGAGAAAGCTATGAATTCGATATAATTTAATAGCTTTATCAAAATTATGTATTTGTGTTTAAAAAATTATTTTATATTATATTAAATAAAAAAGAGAAAATTTCAGAAATAGCAAAGATAACAGACATAATAAGACTCTATAGCTATAGTTTCGATAATTGTGTCTCATAGCTATAGTTTTATTTGCTATGGAGTACGGTTTGTATATCTCGCTTGCAAATATACAAACATGGTAAGTTTATACAAATGGAGGCTGCGGTGTGCATATTTCAATTACCCGCTTGTATATTTCGCTTGTGAATATACATAAAGGATAAGTATATACAACTTCTGTATTTATATATTTAGGAATTTTTCAGAACTCCATTTGTATATTTCGCTTGACAATATACATTAAACATGGTAATTTATTATGATTTTTTCATAAATCGTATACAAATAACTAAGGTAAGTACATACAAATTATGGATTTATACAATTAGGGACCAAATTATACAAATTCTGATTTATATAATTAGAAATCCAAATAGCAAAATTTTATAAAACTGTAGTCACAAATTAAAAATAATCAAAACTATGGCTATATTATATAATATACTCTATATATTGTCATTTCGCATAATTTTCTCAATAAAATAATGTATTAAG